GGTACGGGCCCTTTTTACTGGCCCGGCCAGGTGGGCCCAAAATTTTTTTTGTACTCACTAGTCAAAAGAGAATGGGATTTTCTATAGATAGCACAATACCTAAATTTTTCAAAAAAAAGATTAAAAATGATCCTTTATGATTATTCATTCATTTTTTCGTTAATTTTATCCATGCACGTAATATTTATTATTAATTATTATTTTAAAATAATGTTTTATCATCTTCCTTTTAAATGTTATTTATACTCGTGATATTTGGTATATAAATGAGGGTTGTCAGAGTTCCAGTAAATAAACTTCGAGATTTGCACCATAATTGAGCCATCTTTTTTAACCTAAACTCCCGCGAATGTTTCTAAGTGGCCCACTCTCACCTACCCGATGCACAAGAAGTCGAAGTCTGATGCCTATTTTACTAAGTTTTGATGGTTATAGATGAAACACCAGAGTTTAGAAGATGATGCGACTTTTTGAAGTTTACATCGATCCTACGATGCGTTCAGTACTCCACAATTTCTATCTAAAAGACATTTTTACTGAAGAACTTATAGGAAATCAAAGTGAGTACACAGCAAAAATTTTGAAGATCAAGTTCCTCCTTTAAATCCTTCTGGCATATTTCTGTCGCGATGTTGAACTATCTTCTTTACTCTATTTCTAAAAAGTTAATCATGAGCTGTGATAACTTTAGTGAAAGAAATTTTCATTTCGAACGAAGTTTTCTGTCCTCTATGATTCAAAATCTGGTATCATAATACAGGTGAGAAAGGCTGATGTCTTATGATTTTAACATGAGCCTTACCAATAAGGTAACGTTTGCCGTATGCGAAGAAAACACTCACGCTTGAACTTTCAGAGAATGTGTATTCGTAAACAGAATTAATTGTTTGTCTTATAAATGTTTAAAATTGCTCGTTTACATCCATGGACACAATAGGAACAAAATAGCTTGAAATGATTGTAATGTACAAGAAATTATTATCCGAGAGTATGATAAGATTCATAAGTATTGAAATTTTGATTTAATCAGGTTAAATCATACGTATGTATGGTAAAGTAACTGGAAACATTTATATGCATATATTAATTGGGTATTCTAAAAAAATCAAAATGAAAAGAGAGAACAAATAAAAATAAAAAACATGGTAAAACGAAAGAGAATACCAGAAGACAAAAATGATTTTAGAAGTCAGAATATCAATGCATGTGTAGGATTCTGTCACTGTCTAGAAAATAAAATCGATAATAGAAAAAACAACAACAGATAAAAGTTTTGAATGTATAAAATTGATGACTCATTTGTGTGAAAAATGGCGATAACGAAATAGATATGCGTAGTTAAATTTAATTGCTCAGATTTTATCTAACAAAAAAAGTTATTTAGCCACATATTCGACATGCATATTCAAATAGACCATCCTAAAACGAAATAAATAGAACAATTTAATTCTATATGTGATATAGTATATATTTAATTACCAATAAATAATGTTGAAAATAATAAATGTTCCTGGGAAAATAACAGATGACACCAGATCAACCTAGTTAAAAACCAACAAAAACATAATAATGAATAACATTTAAAATATTTAGTATTTTACAAATTGTGCATTGTCTCGGACGGGCTTGGCAGCTTTTGATACAGGCGATGCTTGTGGAACAATAATTTGAGCTTGCACGGGTGGCACAGAATTTGATAATGATGGTGATGATGGTGATATTGACGAATATTGACCACCACTGGCAGCACCACCACCGCCACCTCCACCACCGTTGTTTCGTTTAGTTACTAATGTTTCCATTGTATCAGCGCTACCAATAGCCTCTTTTTGACGATAAAAGTGGACATGAGCGAGACGATTTCCAATGACCTAAAAATGAAAAATATTTTATCATATATTAAAGAATATTTTTAAAAATTAAATGTAAAGAAAGAAAAATGATAGATTACAAAAGTTTTTTTTAAACAAAGCATGATAAAGAAAGTGTTAGATCTAACAATAAATTATCTTTTTATTAACTTAATGTTACAATTTGAGTCTAATCAAAACTATCACCTTCTAAGATGTTTTTAACATTTATCATTAGTGAAAGTGCTAGTGATAGTTTTATATCTGAAATATATTTTCACTATCAGACAGCAATTAAGAAAATTAAACACAAATGTACAAACGTATAACAAAAGCAAAAGGTTCAATGCTAACAAACATAAAATAATAAAAGAAGAAAAAAAAATGAATCGGCGAACAACTGTGGATGTGTAGTGTGACTTGTCCAGCTAACGGCCTCCATTTTTTGCTCTTTTTCAAAAAGTTATTGCAATAAAGCTACAAACTAATCTAAAACTGCAACTAGATAATTAAGTAGATTTTTGGAGCTGTTTGTACAACAGCTGTATTTTCATAACGAATTAACGTTCAGAGCCGAGATACTTTTCATTTTGTATAGAAATGTTTAATCTACTTAATTATCTAGTTGCCATTTTAGATTCGTTCGTAGCTTTATTGCAATAACTTTTTGAAAAAGAGCAAAAGATAGAGGCCATTAGCTAGACAAACCGAGTGTGAGATCAAGGAACTATGCTAGAAATATTACCTAATACTACTCTTAACTGAAAAAAAAACTGATTTGTTTTTTTAGAAGATCAAGAAAAATTAAAATAAGAATTTGATGAGAAATTCGAAAACGAAATATTTGAGAATAATAACAGTTCTAGACTAAAAGGTAAAGAAATTCTAATATCGAAAGAAATAATAAGTGCTAAACAGTGGTATGTGCATGACTAAAAATGAAGAAGACATTTATCCATCTACTATATGCTACATCTTTTACTCTCTCAGCAGCAAAATTTCCATTTTGCAATTTTTGTATAAGAGTTAATTTTGGGCCTTGTTGTCCTTTGTGCTGAAAATAAAATCAGCAGAGAGAATATTGTAGTTGTTGTGTTTGTGTTTTTTAATAAATAAAAACATCCATTAAAATGAAATATTTTATTTGCCGCTTAGAAGAAAAGAAATGAAAACACCTACCTCCTTCGAAAATCGTACTTGTTGTTTTAGTTCGCCTTTTCGAGCAATTACGTTCACAAGAGCATATTCCAATAAACCAGCAAATACAAAAACAAGACAAGCACTCATCCAAACATCTATTGCTTTAATATAAGACACACGTGGAAGTTGGGATCGAATACCTGAAATAAAATGATAAATGAATTAATTGATAGATCAAGGAGTAAATTAATTTTATTAAGATTAAAAGAGTATACACTATCAACATCGATATAAATACAGTAACAACATATAATAAAAGAATTATTTCTAAATACAATAAAGCCACACTATCTAACATTGAAAGCTAATAAGAAAGAAGAAGAAAGAGGAAAGTCATGTGGTGATAATATTGATGTTATAATTATCTCATATTAAGTTTTTAAGAATTTGTTGAAATCTAGTATAGCGGACTGTTGTACCTACCTGAACTTTGTGTAGTTACTGTTAAAACTGTAAGAAGACCAACTGAAATTCGAGCTGGCACCTTTAAGACAAGAATCAAAAAAATATTAAATATATTCTTTTAGATTCAGAAAAGTCTACTCCCTACCGATTTATGATCAATCCAAAATGAAACAAATGATAGAATAACAATGAGCATACTCGGTATATATACTTGCACTAAACGTAAGGTATATTTTATTTTAAAAATTTTTTATTCTAATAATAACGACTAAACTCACCTAAATAATATCCAAATAATCGTTTTAAATGCAAAACAACAAGTAAACATGTAAAATTGCCTAAAAAATGGGATAGATTTGCATGTAAAAAATGGAATCATTTTTTCATCATGCGAATTCTTTTTCAAAACTTCTTCATTTGTTGCTACTATTGAGAATTACTAACAAACAGATGTTATTTTAATCCTACAAAAAAGTTGTTCTAACTAAAAAATAATATTCTTAAAATAAACTGTACGATGAGCATTATCTCTATACTTGTTAACGTTATTCATACCGAATAAAAAACAATGTGTAACTTATTCATTAGTAAACAACAAATACTTGGAATATTTGCAGTTATAAAAATCGGTTAATTATGAAACAACACATAAATTTACAAAACCAAGATAATTGAGAAACAATCATTTCATTTATGCACGATACAAATAATTGTTTTTTGTCGATGTCGTATGGTTGAAGCTTGTATTAGATGAACGTACACTATTTACTATTTATTTTCGAAAAATAATGCAAACAACCGAGTCGATTTTATTTGTCTCCAAAGAAAACACGTTCGTCGAACACAAACATGTATCTTTTCAAGTCAATGAATAGAGATTGCATTAATCATCACCGACAACATCTGCCGGCTATGTATCAATTAAGTCAACTATAAAACATATTTTAAACATTACAATAACAGTTTTGACAAACTTCTTTAATACATAATAAGTAAAATTAAATTATACTAAAATTTTCATTTTTCTCTCTCTCTCTCTCTCTCAGAATTAGAAATATGTGTGCATGTAGTTGATAAAGTCTTGTGATTGTAAAGAGGAAAGTAGAAAGAACTGTACTGCATCACATAAAGCAAACTTTAAAGATCACCAATATAATAAGAAGACAAAATTGTCTACATAATAAATGTAACAGTGTTAGATAAAATTCAGATGTTGAAAAATTAGCTGATAATACTTTCAGATGATGCTGAAAATAATTTAAGAGGATATATTTATCTCAGTTATTAAGTTTTGTGTTTTTTGATGTTTTGTTTTTAATGAACGATCAACAACTACTATAAATTAGCTTATAGTATCTAATATCTATTACTATTTATAAAAGTGAATTTTAAGAGACTCTAACACTTTGTTTGTATAATCGATAAAAATAATTTATGTACATCTGTTACATTCAGATTATTATGGACATTTTATTTTTTTTGTCTTGTTATGGATAACAGAAGCAAAAAAAAAAAGACAAGAATATATTAAACCAACTACAATAATAAGTGAATATCTAAATGTTTCTTTCTAAAGTACCTGCTGACTTTGCTGTTATTGTAACTATACTCAATAATGAGAGTAATGTTCGTGCTGGTGCACTTTTATAATCAATCCAAAATGAAATAAATGATAGAGTTACTATTAATGTACTTGGTAAAAAGATTTGTTGTAAATATAGATTAATGTTCCGTTGTAATAACAGATGAACTTCTATACATGCATATTTGCCTAAGAGATGTCAAATGAAGAAGTTTTGACAAATAAATGTATATATATATATATACACATATACCTTTAATACAGAGAGATTTTTCATATACACACACACCGTTAAAATTCACATACCTGTTGCTGTGGTTCTATTACAATATCTTGCTTCATGATTTGATAAAACAAAATCGGGCATTTCTAGATCTTCATTAACACGAATAGCACTAACATTTCCGCTTTCATCCCAGAAAAAGGCCAAATCGGTCGTACCGAATCCATCTAGTCAATATAAAAACAATTGTATAAAAAAAAAGCGTACACACTTATCTAACCTTAACAATTGCTATTAACTATTTTGACAAGCATAGATATTCTCTGTCAGTAAAAGCTTCTAATGAGAAGATTTTTATGACAAATCTGAAACTTACAACTGCCAATGTTAACAACACATGTTTGATTATCTAATGGAAATTTTTGTAATTTCATTTGACAATCGAGTTTTAAAAGTAATCTACAATTTATAAATAATATGTTTCTAAAATACATCCATTCTATTTATTTTCTAATACCTTTGACTATATAAAACTTTTCCATCTTTATGTATACGTATAAGACGATTTGGTACTGTTATATCACTTCGTTTTCCTTCTTTAGCATTTCGAAAAAATGAATCTGGAACCCATATACGATCGATTAAACTGTAATGTAACGTTATTTGAGGACTTCTATCGGCCCAATCAGTTCCTGAATAATTTAGACGTGGATCATACCAACTTTGTCGAAATATCAAATCAGTATTATAATCCTAGATAATAATAATAATAATAATACATTGACAAATTTTATACACCACAAATAACAACAACAACAACAAAACTCTCAATATTTCAAAAATATATAACTACATACCATATTAACTTCATTGATTGCGGAAATTGTATTAATATGAATCGTCATTGTAACATTGCATGCTTCTAAAAAAAAAAACATCAAAATTCAATAGTATTATTTATTTTATTCAATCGAGTGATTTTAAAAAAAAAAGAAGAAAACAACTACTTATATTTGCTTTTAAAAAGTAGTCTAAATTTACATAACAATAATTCATGTTTTTTAGGAGAAAAAAAAAATAAAATAAATGAATGTTCTATTTGAAAACAACACGTTCAGTTTATTATGTCTAATAAGGTCATAGTTAAAAATTCAAGTGTAAACGGATGTCTATATTTCTTAGTCGTTATAATCAAATTTTTTGCCGTTAAAGATAAGTTCTAAAAAAACGAACAATGATATAGTTTGTTTAATTTATACAATTCTTTTGTAAAAATTTGAATTAATAAAAATATAAAGAGATTAGAAATGAAAACTTTTTACGTTAAAAATGGGTCCTATTTTCATATCATATTTTTCAACAAGTAAATCTCCATTTGATAATGATAAAGTGACCTTTTCTAATATCTAGAGATTTTGATCTTGTTCATATGATATTAGAAGTACTAGATTTTTGCCTTTTCTATTTGTCATGTAAAAAAGTATTCTCACTTCTTTTTGACTAAGATTGTCTGATATTTATCATTCGTTCAGTATTATTCATTACTTAACTACTCTATAAATAATAGAATTTTAAATTTTATTTAACTTACTTTGTTGATCAAAAAATGGTCGAATTCTTCTATCATATCTCGATGAATTGATAAGTGTATCAAGAAAATCTTCTACTGTATTAATTGTTGAATCATTTCGTAATTGATTGGCACTAGAAACAAGTGTAATAATTGTTGTTAAAAAATGTAAAAAATAATTAATCCTCATGAAATTTAAACTAAATAATAATTAATAATAACACTAACAATATTTAAAATAATAATTAATATATCACAGCATAAAACAATGATGTTT